ATGGAGCCCGAGTATATACCTCGGGAGCAGCTCTCGATGGAATCTAAAAGTTCCATTGATCTCAACTTCGGAGCCCCTGTCATTGAACCGCCGGGAAACGCTGCCTTGACGCAATCAACAGCACTAACATTCGACTGCTTTTTCCCCCGGATCGTACTCACCATTGTATGAACAGTTTGCATAAGACTCAACTTCCATTAAATGAGGCACATGTACGGTGCCTGGTTCACAAACACGACCCAGGTCATTCCTTAGAAGATCGACAATCATTAAATTTTCAGCCTGATCCTTTTCACTGCGGTGAGACGAAAGAGAGTACTTAAACTTCGAATGAAATAAGAGAATGATATGAAAATACATTATGGCTCTCAATCCATCATGCTTTTAATATTAGTTTAACGGGTTCGAAATCTGGTAAAACCGTGCACATACCACCAGATACAGATAACGGAATTACCTGTACTGCAACTGCAACTTGAGCCGTTCATCTTCATCCGATGTTGCACCACGAGCAACGGTCCCCTTAATCGGTTTGGCTTCAAGTATACCATTTCTATCTAGTCGTAAGAACCTCTCGGGAGAAGAAGAGCATATGCATAATTTTTCCTTCGAAAAATTTAGCCATGAAGCATAGGGAGCCGGATTTCTCTCCCTAAGATGAAGATAAAGTCTGAAAGGATCTACTTCCCCAATGAACTTTCTAAACTGAGTTGTGAGACAGAGCTCATAGCTTTCTCCATCTTTAATGTACTTCAGGCATTTCTCAATGTCACTAAGGTATTGCTCTCGGGATTTCTTGGAATGAAAGCCTGCTTCATGCGGAGAGTTTGTCGCAGATTTCGAAATCCGTTCATCAAACGTTTTAGTGACAGAACCTTTCAAGCTGACAAGCTTCTTTTCGATATCATCCAGCCATTGGGTCTTAGTTGTATTTCCTTCGTGTAAGGACATCAAATAAACATCATTGGAATGATGATCAATAACTATAAGGTTATCCGCAAAGAAAAAGCATGCGTCTGGAGTTGTCGATTTGTGAGCATTTGATGCTGCACCACATTCTACTTTAAGATTATACCTGCAATAGAAGCAAATTCATGTCCAATACACTCAGAGCCAAGTGACTGTAGGTTTTATCGGAATAAGGAAGCCGACGCACAAGAAGGAAAAACCAGTAAAATCATAGCTAGAAGTAAAATACGATTGCAGCTATCGAGCTCAAAGAACAGATTGTTTTTGTTTCGGTAGGGGAGGAAAATAATTGAAAGAAATCAACGTTTGTACAAACAACATACCCTATATAACCTATAAATCCCCCATAGAAATCAAATGGCAGTCCTTCAAAATCTTTTTCCTCATGACAGAGTGACAAAAGTTCCTGTTACATGAGTAGAAACGCGAGTTACTGTAAAACCGAATTGTTTAATGATATAAATTAGAACGAAAACAGAAAATAATTTTCAGTATGATTCGAAGAGGCATAACCAACATATTAATACAGTCATCGAGAGAGATGATAAACACTTGGAGCATACAACCAAAATCTATCATGAATTCCATCTGATAACCAACCTGCGATGGGATGAATTCTGACACGGGTATGTTCAGATCGTTCTAAGTTTCCACTGTTATGTCGAGATATTTGTTGGACACAAATGTATATTTCAAGTAACTTTTAAGAGAGAAAAAAGTGAGAGCAACATGTATAGTATGTTTAAATTTCTCTTTATATTCTGATATCTTCGATCGAAGCTATCTGATGTACTAACAAGGAATGAATAATACATCCATCAAAATCCAAAAATACCTTGTTCAAATATTCGAAAAAACCTTCTTCCAGAAATTTGCTGTTAGTAGAGCCTTCAGCATCTTCAATCAATAAATGACCTCCACGTTTACCAGCTGCATTGCTACAAAAGGAATGAAGTTCTTAACTATTATATGATACTCAAAACAACTAATGAAAATCGACCGTTGAGCAATCAATCATGTATAAGCCGGGGAAAAAGCATAAAGAATAACCTCAAAATATTTCTGAAGACAAAAAGAAACTTTGACTAATTGGTTGAAAGATGACAGATAATATATTTTATTCAAACCTTTCTTCGGACAATCTGAAAGTTAATTGCTTCCAAAGATCTCCACCTTTGCCCCCCATGAATGAAAACCGTGCTCTTCCCTGAATGTTGAGAAAAATTAAGACCAAGATGATAGTCAATCACAACATAGAGCTATGAAAATGTAAATTATGAAGCCAAGTCAATCAAATTGGTTATTTACTACAACTATATTATGTCTAGCCAGACTGCTATGTCTTTTGTTTCTGCAAATCAGATGATTTAAACTTAGATCTTTCGCTATGTTCCATTTGAAAGACATTTTGCGAAGTGATAAACCAACCTTCTCTGTTGATGAACTGTCCAGCCAAAAAGTGTTTTCAGCCCTATTTTTCCCAAAAAGTTCAGAAAATATGTTCCTTGCTCCGCCAACTTTACTGGCCAAGTGATCGAACTTCCTCCATTTCAACTTTAGAAATTTAGCACCCATGCTCGGCGGCAAAACATTGACCATATCGAAAATTTCAAAATTTGTCTGGTCTGCACCTTGCATAAATTGCCCATTGCTAGGAGCTCCTCTATTCAACCGGATATCTTCCTTTTTCGCTGATTGTCTCCCTGTGTGAACAGCTCCAAACAGTCTATTAACATGGGGTACCTGCATGGACACTAAAACAAGTTTACTGCTCAGAGAAGCATATGCATCTCAAAAGACGAAGCAGAAGTTAAAAAAAAGAAGCAGGTAAAGCAGATGTCTTAGTGGAATCATTATTCATTAATGCCATTTCAAATTGTCTAAACAGTACTCGGACAAATGATAAGAGGCAGGTTAAATCTTTTTCAGTATTGTTAAACCACCATTTACGGCATAAGAAAATTGTGTTTAATATCACAAAAATTATATTCCAAGTTATCGTTTTAATGAAATGACCATCTCCAAAAGCGTGTGAACAGCCAAGAGGAGGGCAGGGTAGACAGCAAATACACAACACAAGGATAACAAAATTATATTTCTAAAAGGGGCTTCATTTTACCAGTATAATGGATTTCTGTCACTGCCGAACGATGAACTTTTAGCCAATAATCCTCGGTTATTTCTCTAAAATTCTGAATATCTGTCTTCCGTAAGTTGTCGCGACACTTTCAGGATGAAACTGAGGTAAAATTATGGGTGTCAAGAGAATGGCAAAAAGTACGGATAGAATGAGATAAGCAAAGCTTAAAACGAGATAATCCTCGAGCTTACTTGCACACCATAGTGAGGCCAAGTAGCATGCCTAATTCCCATGATAACTTTTCTACTTTTTGTTCCATTAACATGTCTAGAAGCACGATAACTCCCATTTCGTGCTGAAAAAGGATCGAAGTTTGCTTGTGGACTCTCACTCTCATAAGCATCAGGGATGGCATCAAACTTCTCAAAGCAGAAAATGTGTCATCAGAAGTGGTCCAAGCTATTGGTATGAGCTCTTTCGGAAGAGATTCTCCATCTATAACAAGTGAATGATATCGAACAACCTGTAAAAAAAATAACAACCAACCTTAAAACTACACGATCACCGCCTCACAGAGATTGTTTAATGTGACAACAAAGCTTTTAAAGAAACAGAGAGACCATTATTTTCGCATTCAAGCTAAAAAATAAGAGAAGGCTGACCTTGAACCTTGAATTTCTGCCAGACGGTATATTAGCAAATAGCTTGCATCCATCATGCTCAATTTCACTGTATAGAACAAGAAACATTAAATACAAAGGAAAACAAGAACTTTTTCTTTGTATTAGGAGCAAATAAGACATGGTTTTGCATGTGTATAACAGTAATTAGTTGAAGTGAAAATTGTCAAAACTCATTACAAAGCAAATTTTCTCCAAATTTTTCACAACTCATTATTAAGCAAACAAGGCAAACTTGAAATCATAGATCATAATACCTTAGGCGTCCATGGATTGGCTCAGATGCATGGATAATTTGAGCACCATGTGCATAACCTAGAGACTGTCAAATCAAATTTCAATCGAGTCAGATACTGACAAACAGAACCCAACAAACAAAAGCATGTAAACCAAAAACTTTCAAGTCCAGCAAACAAAATCTCAAATCATAGATTAAATGATGAAAAGAATTGTGCATAGGAACAAAAAAATAGCTCTATTTAAAGTCCATCAAGGTTGAATGGAACTGAAGTGAAAAGACACATATGATAGACATTCAAACATAACCACATACTAGTGAAGAAATTACAACAAATTTGTTTCACTAAAAAAATGGTAATAAGTGCATTGCAAATGCATGTAAATGAAATACCTGATGTCCAAGACAAACACCCAAAATAGGGATATCCCAGCACTCCAACAGCAGCCGAAGACACACTCCTGTTATTTTCAAACTAGTTTATTAGACATGTCATAAAATGGTTTATTAGAAAATCTAAGAAACACAGATTGTGTTGCTCAACGCCATTATTTTGGATTGGGGAATTAATATCATCTATGTTGATATAAGTCAAAAACTATCTGATTGCATTATATTACTTAAATTGCTATCCATCGATCATAATAATCGAATCCTGACTTTCTACTCGTTCAGTCGGCTAAATAAGCCAAAAGGACAATATATAAAAATTGAATACTACTTCTAACAGTCTCACCTATATCTGCCGGGCATGTTGGAGAACCAGGTCCAGGTGATATAACAATATTATCAAATGCACCCTCCTCGTATAAGAAAGAGCAGATGTTTTCCCATGTCAATTCATCATTTCGCACAACTACAGGTGGCGCTGACAAAATTGCAGACCGTAAGGAAAGATGTCAGGACAGCTTCAATCAAGTTAATATTTAGTTCTTCAGTAACAAGAATTAATTCCATCATGCAGAGTGCAGAAAACAAAATAAAAAAGCTTAGAGGTCAAGGGTGTAACTGGAATGATCTGCCTGAGTGGTAGCTATAAATATATTCAATACAAGAAGACGTACACGAGTAAGAAGAAGATTGTAAGAGAAAACTCACAGCCATTAATGACACTTAGCTCCTGGTAAATGTTGTATGTATAGCTATCATAGTTATCGATCAACAATGTCCTCACTAATTCAAGCTTCCTTCTGGGATCTGCCGGCCGTTTCTTTCCCATGAACGATCCTTCTAAATGGCCAGGAACTAGATGACTTGATATCACCATTTTCTTAGCATCGGAATACGAGGATAGAAAATAATGCTTTCTGATGTAACCACCAGCCCTTGTAAACAATTTAGACGCCGCTGGATTTGCCTTTATATTCCTCAAACCCTCAATATTGGGGTATGTGAGTTCAGAAGAACATAAACTGAAGCTCATTTTTTTTGCTTCAAAAGGGAAGTTTGGCGAAAAATGACACGAGAACTCCCCTTACCTTCTGCAAAAAAGTTCTCATTAGATTTTTTAAAACCTATACTTTTCCGAACCAAAATGACTACTACACAATGTGACTACTCTTCTACTGATCCACAAGGAAACTACTTAGGCATTTATGGCCCGGCTTAAAACGAACAAATTTACTATAGAATCGAATTCTACCAGTGGATGCCTTTCAGGTCAACCTATTCCACAATACAAGTATAGCCATTGAAAAGGGAAACCTTGTATAACCTTCAAGTAACTTTTACAGATCAGGGGATCGACTGAGTGTCGGAAAGACAGATAAAAACATGGTAAAGAAAAGCAGCCCACTATCATGTTTGCTCCTTTGTGTTTTTGACTTCTTTTTTACTAGTTTCATACCAATTTGATTCAATTAATTAAATCTTAAAGCAAATTGTGAAGAGCCTAACTAAAATCAGATATGGAACCTCTAATAACCCACTAAATCATGGGTGCAATCGCACCCGATAACTACTTTTATTACAAAGGCAAATATTAACAACGAAAGACAACACCAAGATCACAATCCAATACAGTTCAACAAATTTAAAAAGCACCCATATAGAAACTATAAAGTAAGAAAAAACCAACATTCAGCAGTAACAAATGAAAATCACAAGGGAAGGTGGAAGAGCAAACACTTGGGGATAGAAAACAAAGGAAGCTTTCTGTCAGCAAATCAAATAACACTTGGGGATAAAAAAAAAAGGAAGAAAGTTTAGATAAAGCAGATATCTTTTAGCTGGAGCAGAAATCTCTGCACGTTCAATCCAATGCCCTCAAAAAAACGAAAAGCAAATCACGGAAATGGGAAAAATCCATTCTTTCTTAAACTATTAAAACATCATAAGAAAAGAGGCTAAAGGTAGGTAAGCAGATCTTACACATGAAAAGAACAGAATAAAAGAGATGGGTACCTTAAGATTGTGAGAACATGAATAAAATTGATGGTTTTACAGAGGATGTTGGTGTTATTAACAGGCGGTGTTGTGGTGAAAAAAATGGAGGAATGAGACGTGGTAGGTAGACGCCTAAGCCGGGCTGAAAATAGCACAAAGGACAAAAATGGGGTGGATCCCAGATTCCATGGATTTATTGGCCATTGGACAACATATGGATGTCGATAATCATCCAAATATAATTGAAAATTTAACAAAATCTTACCACCTTTCAAGTCCCCAGGATTTCCCATCCATGCATACCTATATCAATATAAGTAATAAATTAGGGTAAACTATATCGATATAAGTAATAAATTAGGATTTTTAAATTATAATTTAATTATTTAATTAAAATATTATTACAAACAAATTATTTAATACAGATGATACGAGAAAGACTGACGGATTTGACAACTTGTGGAGGTATGACACGGAATCATTTGAGCAAGTGGATTGTGAGATTTTCAAAACGTATTGGATATTGTTCGGTAATTGATGCGGAACTTTGGGGAGTCTATATGGGACTGAAGATGGCTTGAGAGAGGAACTTTCAAAGGATCGTGATGGAAACAAATAGTAAGGAGGTGTTGGTTGTCCTACAACGAAATCAGGGAACAGAAGGTATATCGGCCCTTGTATCTCATATTCATAATATGCTTCATGGAGGGTGTGGTTGCAATTCAGGTACGTACTCAGAGAGTGCAACCAGATGGCTGATGGGTTAGCTAGCATGGCTTGGAAGAATCATGGTTGTGAGAATGTGTATGTTGATTTGTCAGAGGAAGTTCGGGCGGTATTTAATCAGATATTATAGGATTTAGTAGTGGTTAAGGCGTTTAAGCCTCCTTTGTATTAAAAAAAATATCAAAGCGAAAGTTTAATGGAGTTTGGTATAATAATAATTTTAGTTCTTAAAATTTATATAATCTATCAATTTAATCATAATTTAAAAAAAATCGATAAACTAACCTTTTATAATTAAAATTTTTAAATCAATCAATTATTAACTCAGTTATAGATAGATTATATTTTTAAAGATTATAATTTAGTTATCTAATTAAAATTAAATAAAAATGAGAAAAATTGTTAACACTAATAAGATAGAAGTTTCTCAAAAAAAATAAATTATTATAATAATGGTTCTCTAAAGAGAAGTATCAATTTATATTCTAAAGACAATAACATCGAAGAAAGATGTAAAATTATTTTAATCGATGATGATGTTATATAATATTGTACTCTTTTGTTTATTTTATTATTCACTATTATAATTTAGTTCCATCCTAAGACTATGTGTTATTTTTTAAAATAAGATTCTTAAAATATTTAATAATAAAAATTTAGTTTGTCAAATTCGAAATGATAAGAGATCTATGAAGTTTCTTTTATCAAAATTTATCCTGAAAAATGATTAAATATATTATCAAAATCTTCGTTTAGAATTTTCTTTATCATTTCCTCGATAATCAAATGGAAAGTTTATTTTTCTTGAATACAAATATCGTTAGAGCACAAATATTATACATGGATTGGCTTAAATGACATTCATGTGTGAGGTCCTTAAATTTTTGGACTCCGACAAATCACATTCTACACTTGTCATTGGGCATACATGTTTTTTTTCTTTTGGATAAATTAGATTTATTACCCAAAGAAGCAGAAAACCTGCTATAGTCAAACATAAGTACCAAACCAGATCAAGCTAAGAAATAACTACCCCACAACTTTTCAAGAAATCCCCCACCTATTACAAAGAGCAACATTTACATGATCAACCATATTGATATCCCTTCTACTCAATTTAACCTTTATCACCTCCTTAACAATAGCTAACAAAGTATATGCATCTCTTAAATGGCCTCGAAATAACTTATAGTTTTTTCTCAAATGGTGTAAATATGGGCACACCACGCCAACTTCAAAATTATGGTAAGCAAAAATTTACCTTTCAGGGAGGCCACAACCCATTCAATCTCAGCTTCCCAATACAGAACCTCCCTCTATAGTCCACACATCCATAAAATAGCGACTCAATTCGCCCTTGTCATAGGAAAATCAATGAACAAATGATTCCTTGTCTCTAAAGACTCACCACAAACCACACAACCACTATCATCATTCAAACCCATTCGCATAAACTTGTTCTGAGTAGGGAGCCTATCCAAGGTGACCATCCATGCGGTGAGGTTGTGTTTTGGGATATGGAGAGAAAACCAAATCAACTTATGCCAAGGAACCCTTACACCCCTTAATTGAATCTTTCCTAAAATATCACCCACTTTGCAATCTCCAACAATAGACAAAATGGGATAAGACACAGACCTAAACTTTAGAAGCCTTCGAAAATTCCAGCTTGCATTCACAAAATCACCAATCTGCTAAAAGTCTACACCTTTAAGAATATAGCTCCTCAACCAAGCAACCCAAAAGGAGCCCTATTCCAAGTTCTTATATCCTTAACACTCAGTCCACCTTCAAATCAAAGAAAGTAGACTTGCTCCAATTTGACTCGAACTCTAGTGGCAGCAGTGTCAGACCACTTCCAAAGAAACCTGGAATAGAGCTGCTCCACCCGTTTGATAACAACCTGAGGCAGGAACAATTGCCTACACCAGTAATTATCAATACTAAACAAGATAACCTTTATTAATTCAACCCTACTAGCGTACTTAGATGCCTACCAGACCAATGACTCAATTTAGATTTAATATTCTCCATAAGCACAACACATTCTTTCTCAAAAAGTTTCCTTGTAACCAAAGGAATTCATAAATATATGACTAGCAAACTCCCACACTTAAAACCATTAATTTGCTCAATTTCATCAACCTAATTGCTTGATACCCCAGTCACAAAAAAATCACATTTTGTTGCATTTAGCCTAAGACCATACATCACATAAAAAATGTCCAAAACACAACTCACACCAATAATAGATTCAATCGAACCATTACAAAAGATAAGTAAGTCATCAACAAATGAAAGATGTGGAAGTCCTACCTTTTTGCATCTATGATGGTAACCAAATAATCCCCTCGCAGCAACCAAATTCAGTAAACTAGAAAGCATATTCATTGATAAAACAAAGAAAAAATGAGAAAATGGGTTCCCTTGTCTAATACCTCGAGCACCCTTTAAGAAACCAACCAAACTACCATTGAGAGAAATAGAGTGTCTAGCAGCAGTGAAACATGCCCTAATCTAACCAATAAACTTGCCAGGGAACCCCAAAGCTCCTAAAACAACAAAGATAAAATCCTAATGAATGAAATCAAAAGCTTTTGTAAATCTATTTTAAGAGAACATCTGGGAGATATCAGCTTCCTACCATAATCGTTCACCAACTCTTGTGCAAGCATAGTATTATCAGTAATACTACGACCCTTAATAAATATAACTTGATTTAGATAAACTATACCAGGAAAAAGACCAGTTAACCTTTGCACCAAAATCTTGGTAATGGTTTTATACACTACTAAGCAGCAGGAGATTGGCCTGAAGTCCTTTACCATGTTTGGGGACCAGGTAACTGTTGTGGCATTAAAAGTAGACAGAATGAGAGAATTTGCAAAAAAAAAAAATTACATAACAACTACTACATAATCAACACCTACAATAGACCAGACCCTCTTAAAAAAGTATGAGGTATAGCCATCAAGCCCATGAGCCTTATCATTGCATTAACAAAAGATAGTTTTTTTAACTTCATCACTAGAAATCTCTCTTATA